TTTTTGTTTCCCAGCAAACAGTAGTATTTTAAAGAATTAACTAGCCCAAAAAGAAAGAAAGAAGAATTAACTAGCAGGTGTTCTGGAGAGATGCTGCTCAGCAGGTAAAAGCACTTGTCCCTCAAATCTGACAACCTGAGTTTGATTCCTAACCCACATAGCAAGCTAGAAGTATCTGTAACCCCAGCACTCCTACTGTGAGGTGGCAGGCAGAGACAAAATCAGCCAGAAGCTCACAGGACAACTAGCCTGGAGTACACAGTGCAGCAGCAGAAACAAGAGGGACTAAGCTTCAAAAACAAGATAAAAGGGCACTAGAGAGATGGCTCAGGGGTTAAGACCATTGGCTGCTCTTGCAGAGGACCCAGGTTCAATTCTGAGCACCCACAACTAAAAAACATAACTCCCAGCAGCTAACAACCATGTGTATCTTTGGTTCCAGGAGAATTTGACACCCTCTTCTGACTTCTACGGGCATTGCATGACATGGGTGCACCTTGCATACATGAAGTGTATACAATACACTCATACACATAAAATAAAAATAAACCTTTAATCCCAACACTCGGGAGGCAGAGGCAGGTGGGTCACTGTGAGTTCAAGGCCAACCTGGTCTACTTAGTTCCAGGCCAGCTGTGGCTACAGAGAGACCCTGTCTCAAAAAGACCAAAATAAAATAAAAAGTAAATATAAAGTGAAAGGAGAGAAACAACTTCTAAAAAGCTGGGGCTGGAGAGATGGCTTAGCGGTTAAGAATGCTGGTTGTTCTTGCAGAAGACCCGGGTTTGAACCCCAGCACCCACATGGTAGCTAACAACTGTCCGTAACTCCAGTCCCAGGGGATCCGACAGCCTCTTCTGACCTCCGTGGGCATTGCACGACACAGGTGCACTTACCTACACACAGGCAATACATGCATACACATAAAAAATAAAAATAATAAAATAAAAAGTTACCCTGATCTGCCACACATGCACCATGGCATTTTTGCACCTGTGCTCACACACCCATACTTAATTTTTAAAAATTAAATAGCTGGGTATGGTGGCACATACCTGTAATCCTAACACTGGGGAGATTGAGGCAAGAGGATCAAGAGTTTGGGGCCAGCTTAGGCTACATATGAACTTGTCTCAAAAAAATCTTTTTATGGGCTGGGGAGCTGGCTCAGCACTTGGAGTGCTTTGTATTCTTCCAGAGAACCAATGTTCAGTTCCTAGCACCCTTGTCAGGTGACTCACAACCACTTGTAACTCTAGCCTCCATCTCCAACGGACCCTACAGCCTTTTTTGACCTCTGTGGGCACCTGCACGTAGTTGGTATGCAAACAGAGACACAGACATACAATTTTTTAGAAGTTTTCCTTTGTGAGATAGGGTCACACTATGCAGCCCTGACTGGTCTGGAACTTGCTATATAGAACACTAGGCTGGCCCCTGCATCCTGAGAACTGAAATCAAAGGTGTGGGCCACCAGGAGGAGGGTCAACAAAAAAATAAGTCTTTTAAGCCAGATGTCAGGGTGCATGCCCCCAGCACTTGGGAGGCAGAAGCAGGTGAATCTCTGTGAGACCAGCCTGGTCTACATAGCACATTCCAGACCACCTGGGGCTACTGAGACACCCTGTCTCTAAAAAAAACAAAACTAAACAAAATTAAGTGGGGCTGGGGAAATGATAAAGTTGGTAAAGTTCTTGCCACACAAGTGTGAGAACCAGAATTCAATTCCCAGCATCCTTTAAAGCCAGGCAGAGCAGCACATGCCTGTAATCTCAGTGGAGACGGGAGGATTCCTGGGGCTTGCTGGCTGGCCAGTCTAGCCAAATTGGTGAGCTTGAGAGACCCAGTCTCAAAAAGTAAAGTGGAGAGTGAAAAAAGCACCCAAGGTTGACATCTACAAGTGTGCATACACATGTCCACAAACACCCCCACACATACACACAAAAATAATATCACAAAATATTCTCACAGAAAATATCATAAGTTTATCATTTTACTGGATTTTGAGGGGAGGAGGAGAGAAATGTTGAGGTGGGTCTTTGCTTGTACCCCAGGCTTTCTCCAAACTCATTTTCTTCTGCCTCAGCCTCTTAAGGGCTAGTATTATAGGCATGTGCTACCACACCTGGCTAGTGGATATTCTCAGTACCATAATTCATACTGTAAAGTTTACTTTCCACATTTTCTATTTATAAAAAAATTAATATTAGGGCTGGGTGTGGTGGTGCACACCTTTAATCCCAGTACTCGGGAGGCAGAGGCAGGCAGATCTCTGTGAGTTCAAGGCCAGCCTGGTCTACATAGTAAGTTTAGGTCCACTGGGACAGCAGGGAGATTGTCTCTCAAACAGAAAAAAAACAAAGTTGAACAGTACTTTGTAATTGACACACTGGTTGGCAGATCTAATGCACCTCCCATCTATAATTTAGCTCCAAGAATAGCATACAGTTACAGAAGTAAAAGATTACGTACAAAGTTTTTTAAAACTATTATTTTTTATTTTGTGTGTATAAGTGTATTGCCTGCCTGCATGTAAGTGCACCTGTGTTATGCAGTGCCTGCAGAGGTCAGAAGAGGTGTTGGATCCCTGGAACTGGAGTTACTGAAGGTTGTTAGCACCATGTGGGTGCTGGGAATCGAACCTGGGTATTCTGCAAGAGCAGCCAGTGCTTTTGACCACTGAGCCATCTCTCCAGCCCCTTAAAATCACATCATGTTATAACCAATGTTATAATATCTCAATATCATATTATCATATCTCTAGTGGTAAATAATTAGAGGTAGGGCTCAGTAGTCTCTAAATCTTTTCTTTCCTTTTTCTTTCTTTTTTTTTTTTTTTTGGTCTTTTTGAGACAGGATCTCCCTGTAGCCCCAGCTGGCCTAGAACTTGCTCTGTAGACCAGGGTGGCCTTGAACTGCTAGGATCAAAGGCGTGCGCCACCATGCCCCGCCCCAATCTTTAAATCTTTTTGGAACTCTGACAGTCTGCTCTTTTATAAATGAAAGCAGATGGTTCTGATTTCTTTCTTCCCAATTGACATTTGGGTGATGAGAGCATTCCTCCCATTCTAGTTGTTTTTCTTTAACCTTAATAAAGATATTTACTCAGATATGTGTGTGAGTGATGTAGAGTGTATTAGGAGAAAAGCACTGTATTAAGCTTATTCTTACTATTCTTTTGATTTGCTCTTTAATTTTGGATAAATCACAACTCCCTCAGGACTTTAGTTTCTTCATCTCTTGCATGATAGTTATATTAGATTATCTAATACAACTTTCAGTCATAATATTTATGGTTTTCCATTTTTTATTTATTTTTTATTAATTTATGTGTGTGAGTGTATTGCCTGCATGTATGTGAGTGTACCTGTGTCATGCAGTGCGGCAGAGGTCAGAAGAGGGCTTCGGATTCCCCTGCAACTGGAGTTAAGGATGGTTCGTAGCCGCCATGTGGGTGCTGGGAATCAAACCTGGGTTCTCTGCAAGAGCAGTCAGTGCTCTTTATTTTTTATGGGTTTTTGTGGGGTTTTTTTTGGGGGGGGTTGTTTTGTTGTTTCCAATTTTTTGGTCTTTGAGATAGTCTCTCTCTCTCTCTCTCTCTCTCTCTCTCTCTCTCTCTCTCTCAGACTTGGATGTAGCTCAGGTGGTACTGTGCTTGATAACATGCATGAGAGGTCCTGGGTTCCAGCACCAGGACCATGTAAACCAGGCATGGTGACTCATGTCTAGAATTCCAGCATTTGTGAAGTAGAGGTAGAGGCAGGAGAATCAGAGATTCAAGGTCATCCTCATGAATTTGAGCCAGGCTGGGCTACATGAGACCCTGACCCCACCTCTCCACTTCTCCCTAAAGTATGTACATAGTTTTGTTTTCTTTATTTCAGACAGGATCTCCTATAACCTAGGCTAGCCTCAGTTCACTGTGTAGCCTGGAACGCCAGATCTTCCTGCCTCCACCTCCTAAGTAATAGGATTACAGGCATATGTAGCAAGTTTAAGTCTGTTCAAAATAGCATTTAAAAATGTATTTATGCATAAGACCTATCTACTTTTTTTTTGTTATTTGGGTTTTAGTTTGTTTTTTCTTGAGATCTCACTGTGTATATAGCCCAGGGTGGCCTGGAACTCATGGTCATAGCCATACCTCAGTTTCCCTAGTGCTGTGATTACAAGTGTGTGCTACTACATTGGACCATAGAATCAACCATTATTGAAAGCTATTAATACCTCAATGAAGACATTTTAGAATATAGTATGCAAATATATTCCCCCCAGACTTAAAATTCATACCATCTTTTTGCTCGACCCTATAATTCTAATACTCAGGAGGCTGAAGCAGGAGGATTGCTGTGAGTTTGAGGCCAGCCTGAGCTATAGACAGTGAAACTCTGTCCCAAGAAAACAACAATTACAAAAAAAAAAAAAAAGAGCTTTGTGATGGCTCAGCAGTTAAGAGCACTGGCTGCTGTGAGCTGGAGAGATTGTTGTCAACCTGACACACCTGGGTTGAGGGAGCCTCAATTGGGGAATTGTCTCCTTTGGCCTGTCCTGTGGCCATATCTGAGGGGTATGTTCTTGGTTTTTGAATGATGTGGGAGGGCCCAGCCCGCTGTGGGTGGTGCCACCCCTGGGCAGGTGGACCTGTGTTGGATAAGAAAGCAGGTTAAGCACAAGCCAGTGGAGTAAGCCAGTAAGCAGCATTCCTCCATGGCCTGTGCTCCAGCTCCTGCCTCCAGGTTCCTGCCCTGAGTTCCTACCTTGGGCTCCCTCAGTGATGAACTGTGACCCGGGAGATGTAGGCTAAATAAGCCCTTTCCTTCCCAAGTTGGTATTGGTCAGAGTGTTTTGTCACAGCAATGGAGAAATAAACTAGAACACTCCTCTTGCCGAGGACCTGAGTTCGATTCCCACCCACATGGCAGCTAACAACCATCTGTAACTCCAGCTCTATATATATATATATATGGTTGACATTTTGAATTTACATCTGTTATCTCTAGCTAATTTAGAAGAAATTGAAGAAGGAAATTCTCTTGATTCTTCAATCCAGCAAGTGGTGGGGAGTGGAGGTCAGAGGGTCATCACCATAGTAACTGATGGAGTCCCTCTGGGTAATATCCAAACTACAATCCCTACTGGAAGCATTGGCCAGCCATTCATTGTAACTATGCAAGACGGACAACAAGGTGAGTTACACCCACCAGACAATTGCTTATTTAAAGGTATTTTAGATACTTCATATTCCCCTAAAAATGAGACATTTGGACAGAGCAGGAGTGTGGAAAAAACCCAGAGAATGATGGGACAAAGAATCTCTGAAAGGCCGGGCTTGGTGGCACATGCCTTTAATCCCAGCACTTGGGAGGCAGAGGCAGGTGAATCTCTGTGAGTTCAAGGCCAGCCTGGTCTATGAAATGAGCTCCAGGCCAGCTGGGGCTCCTATCTCAAAAAGATCCCCCCCAAAAAAGAATCTCTGAAAAATAGTAACCAGGCTGCAAAGGTTAATTTAGTTTCTCTAATACATATAAAATTTGTGAATGAGAGCCAGTGATCTGAATCTGCCTGCAATATCAGCACATGGGTCATGGAGGCAGCCTGTACTATATAAAGACCATCTCAAAAGACAACGGAAACCCAATCAGAAAACAGATCAGGGCTGGAGAGATGGCTCAGCTGTTAAGAGCACTGGCTGTTTTTTTCAGAGGACCCAGGTTTGATTCCCAGCACCCACAGCCACCTGTAACACCAGTTCCAGAGAATCCAGTGCCCTCTTCTGGCCTCCTCAGGCATTGCATGATACAACTTAACATAGTTACATACTTGCCAGCAAAACACTCATACATATAAAAAATAAAAAAAATAGCCCAGTGTGATGGTACACGCCTTTAATGCCAGCACTTGGGAGGCAGAGGTGGGCAGATATCTGTAAGTTTGAAGCCAGCCTGGTATACATAGTGAGTTCCAGGCCAGCTGGGGCTATAGGGAGACTCTGTCAAGCAAAACAAACCTGGAGATATAACTCAATTGGTAGAATCCTTTTCCACCATGCATAAAGCAGTAAGTTTGATGCCCTGCATCACACAAACTGGGTAAGTTGGCACATGCCTGTAATCCTAGCACAAGAAAAGTGGAAATAGGAGGATCCAGAGCTCAAGGTCATCCTGGGCTATATTAGGTCCTGTCTTTACAAAGGGGGATTGTCCTCTCCTGGGGTGGCTGGATAGATAGCTCAGCAGGTAAATACTGCCCTTACAGAGGACCTGAGTTTGGTTCCCACCACCTATGTCAGGTGGCTTACAACTGCCTGTAGCTCCAGTTCCAAGGGGATCCAACACCTCAGGTCTCTATGGACACTTGCACACACATGGACATACCTACATATGACACACATATTTAATTAAAAATAATAAAAATTTATTTTTTAAAAAAGAACAAATAGTACCTGGTGGTTACAGGCATGTCATCCCAGCTATTCAAGAGGCTGTGCAGGAAGTACAGGAAGAAAAAATATGAACCATTCAAAAAAGAAACTACTGCTATACTTAAAAATACATGAGGGCTGGAGAGATGGTTCAGTGGTTAAGAACACTGGCTGTTCTTACAAAAGTCCCGGCTTCGAATCTCAGCATCCACATGGCGGCTAACAACTGTCCATAACTCCAGTTCCAGGGGGTCCAGCGCCTTCTTCTGTCTTCTGCAGGCATTGCATGGCATAGGTGCACTTACCTATATGCAGGCAATGCACGCACACACATTAAAAAAAAAAAAAAAAAACATGAAAGTTGAAGGAGCTGGCAAAATGGCTCAGTGGGTAAAAGTGCCTGCCATCAAGTCTGACAACATCAGTTCGATCTCCACAACCCACATGGTAGGAGAGAACCAATTCCCAAAACTTGTCCACTGACCATATGGGTGCCATGGCACACACGCTTACACATGCACACAAATAAGTGTGATAAAATAAATGTTTTAAGTGTCTTTTTTAGACAGAGGCAGGAGATTGCCACAAGTTTGAGACAGCCTGGTCTCCATAGCCAATTCCTGCTAAAGCAGGAGGATTGCTCAACTTTAAATCCAGTCTGGGCTACATAGGGAGTATCAGACCAACCAAGTCTATATGACAAGACTGTTTCTTACTCCTTTTCCCCCCGGCCAAAAAAAAAAAAAAAGAGTGGGGAGAGTTACAGCTTAGTAATGCAGTCCCTGCTTAGCATGTGAGAGGCCGAATTAAATCTCCAGCCCCTCAAAAATAAATATAAACAGCAACCATGCATTCATAGTTAAAAAGAAGGCTAAAAGTATGCCACACTGAGGAGGCAAAGGCAGGAGGATCAGAGCAAATTCAGGCCTAAACTTTTTCAGTAGGGACTAGATTAAAAAAATGTAGTAGCTCTATACCATGAAATATTATTCAGATATAAAAACAATGAGGCACCAGACAGACTGAAGCAGGAAGTTGAATTTGAAACCAACTTGAGCTATATGAGACCCCATTACCACCAGCTCCCCCCAAACAAGTAAATTCCCTAGATATTAGTATAGTTTTGTCTCTAAAATATATTGGGGTTTTTTGTTGTTTTATTTCTTGAGACAGGGTCTTATTTTACAGCCCTTATGGACCTGGAACTTGCTATGCAGACCAGGCTAACCTCAAACATGTGGTAATCCTTCTGAGTTTGGCTCCCAAATGTTGGAATTACTGGGATGCATCACAATTCCTTGCCTGCCAAAATATGTTAAGTGTCAAGAGCAAGATTCAGGGTAGTTCACTGATAGAGCACTTGCCTGGCATTTTCAGGACCTAAGTGCAGTCTCCAGCACCATAAAAAAGAAAGGCAGGCAGGTCTGAAATGCTTGCCATACAAGCATGAGGACCTGAGTTCAAATCCCCAGCATCCACATAAAAAGCCAGGTGCCGTAGTATGTATTTGAAATTTCAGTACTGGGGAGATGAAGTCAAGAATCTCTGGGGCTTGCTGACTACCTAATCTAGCCAAATTGTGAGCTCAGTGAGAGACCCTGCCTCAAAGGAGTGAGATGGAGAACAATAATAAAGGAGGACACTTAATGTCTTCTTCTAGCTTCCACCTGTGTGTGCACACAAAACAAGATGGAAATCAATTGAGGAAGATGCCTGACATCAACCTTTGGCCTCTACATGCATGAACACACATGAACATGCACTCAACACATGCACACTCATGTAAACAAATACTCGAATGAAAGTCACAAAATACAACCTAGGAGTCAGTATGTGAAGGCACAGCAAAGAGTAGCCATCCATAGGTCAAGGAGAGAAGCTTCAGAGAAACCAGCCCTGCCCACACCTTGATCTTGGACTTCTAGCCTTCAGAACTTTGGGAAAATAAACTTCTGCTATTCACTGCTAAACTTTTTTTTGTTTGTTTTTGTGGCAGGGTTTCATAAGTGCTGGGATTAAAGGCATGCACCACCATGCCAAGATTTATGAGGTGCTGGGGATTGATCCCAGAGATTTGTGCGTGCTAGACACTTTATGAACTAACCCTCATCCCCAGTCTTTTTGTTTGTTTGTTCTAAGAAATAAGGTCTCAACCAGATGTGGTGGTACACACCTTTAGTCCCAGCACTCAGGAGGCAGTAGCAGGTGGATCTCTGTGAATTCGAGGCCAGCCTGGTCTATATAGTGAGTTCCAGGCCAGCTGGGGCTACAGGGAGACCCTGTCTAAAAAGAAAAAAAAAGGGGGGGGGCTGGAGAGATGGCTTAGCAGTTAAGAACACTGACAGTTCTGGCAGAAGACCCAAGTTCAAATCCCAGCACCCACTTGGCAGCTAACAACTGTCCATAACTCTACTTCCAGGGGATCCAACAGCCTCTTCTGTCCTCCTCGGGCATTGCATGGCACAGGTGCACTCACCTGCTTGTAGGCAATATACACATATGCATAAAATAAAAATAAAAAAATATGTAAGAAAGAAAGAAAGGACTCAAAACTGGGCATAGTGCAATTTGGGAGTCTTAGATAGACCCACTGAAGGGATACTCCAATTGCCTCACCCTGCATCCCTGTTCAGCACAGAAGAAGCCAGAGTGGTCTGCATCCCAATTCCCTATTGGCAATTTGGGTAACCCCTTCAGAAGATGCTGTGATAAGAATAGGAGGTAGGAATTGCCTAGGCAGTTAGGGTAAAAAGACCCCAAAGAAATGTAGCCAGTTTCTTAACTAAAAGTCAAAATGTCCTTGGGCCTGTTAAGGCCAAAAATGTCAAAAGTATTTGGGAGCTTGTATTTAATAGATGTTAGATGTTAGGGTTACTTCTTCAGAGGGGGGAATGTTAGAGGGGAGGGAGTGGGCATGGCTTTGATCAAAACACCTTATATACATGTATGAAATTCTCAAAAAGTTTTTGTAAAAGTTAAAAAAAAAAAACAATAAAAAAAGGGCTAGGTGGTGGCACACACTTTAATCCCAGCACTCTGGAGGCAGAGGCAGGCAGATCTCTGTGAGTTCAAGGCCAGCCTGGTCTACATAGTGAGTTCCAGGACAGCTGGGGCTACAGGGAGACCCTGTCTCAAAAAAGACCAAAAAAAAAAAAAAATGGGCATATTGGCACACGCCTTTAATCCTGGCACTTGGGAGGCAGAAGCAGGCCAATCTCTTGAGTTCAAGGCCAGCCTGGTCTACATAACAAGTTCCAGGCCAGTTGGGGCTACAGGGAGCCTTTCTCTCAAGAAGACCAAAAATAAAGTTCTCAAATAGCTCAGGCTAGCCCCAAACTCTGTATATAATAGAGGCTAACCTTGAACTCCTGATCCTCCTGTCTCTACCTTCCAAGTGCTGAGATTATAGGCATGTGCCACCATACCCAACAAAAACTGTTAAATGTTTCCTACATAAACTATAGTGACTGTACCATTTCATATTCCCACTAACAATTTATGGATGATAATCCAGTTTCTCTACACCCCCAGCATTGGTTTTAGGGGCTAGAGAGATGTCTCAGTAAGAATGCTTAATACACAGGCCTGAGTTTGAATCCTCAGCATCCACCTAAAAAGCCAGGCACGGAGACAGCTATAAACCCAGTGCTATGCTGGGTGGAGACAGGAGGGCTGCTGGGACTTGCTGGCTGCCAGCCCAACACCATGTTCAGTGAAAGACTGTCTCAAAGGAAGAAGTTGGAGAGTGATAGAGAAGGACATCCAATGTCCTCCTCTGGTCTCTGTATGTGCACATGCACATATATGCACACATACATATATGCAAATACAAAATTTTTTTTGAGACAGGGTCTCCCTGTAGCCTCAGCTGGCTGGAGCTCACTATGTGGATCAGGCTGGCCTAGATCTCACAGAGATCCACCTGCTTCTGCCTCCCAAGCACTGGGATTAAAGATGTGTACACACACATCCAGCTAAATAAAATATATTTTAGTTATTGTTGCTGATACATAGTACATCACCTGTGATGATAGCTGCTTTTATGAGAGGTTTCTTGGCCATCTTATGTTTTTAATGTTTTAATATTTTTATTTTATGTGTAAGAGTGTATTGCCTGCATGCATGTAAGTGCACTCATGCATGCAGTGCCTATAGAGGTCAGAAAAGGGCATCTGATCCCCTGGAACTGGAGTTAAGGATGGTTTTTAGCTACCATGTGGGTGCTGGGAATCAAACCCTGGTCTGCAAGAGCAGCCAGTACTCTTAAGCCCTGAGCCATCTCTCCAGCCCCTCAGCCATCTGAGTTCTGGTTTTTGTTATTCTGTTTAATTAGATACAAGATCTTGTGTGTGCTAGTTTTACTACTGAGCTATATGTCCAGCTCCCTTTAGGTAATTACTGTAGAATTGATAAGCTAATTGGTCATAGGTACTGACCTAGTCAGAAGTTTTTGTTGTTTTATTATTATAAAAAATTTATTTGTGGGGTTGGGGATTTAGCTCAGTGGTAGAGTGCTAGCAGTCCTCAGCTGGGGGGGGGGGGCTGGAATTATTTGTAAAATATTTTTCTCTGTAGCTCAGCCTGGCCTCAAACTCATCATGTGACCTAGGCTAGCCTTGGACTTTCTGCAGTTTTCTTGCCTCAGCCTCCTAAGTGCTGGGATTACAGGCGTAAGCACCATGCTTTGTCTTGACTTTTTTTTCCCCCTTTGGTTTTTGAGACAGGATTGCCCCATAGCTCCAACTGGCCTAGAACTCAATGTAGACCAGACTGGCCTTGATCTCAGAGACCGGCCTGCCTCTGCCCCTGAGTGCTTAAATTAAAGCATGCACCATCACACCAGGCTGCCTCTTTTTTATTTTTTCTTCTTCAAGACAGAGACTCTATATATACCCAGGTTGGTCTCTAACTTGCTCTGTAGCTAAAGATGGCACTGAACACCTAATCCTCCTGCCTCCACATCCAAATACTAGAATTACTGGCATGAGCCACCACACCTACACCTAGCTCAATGTTTTATTTTGTTTTGGGGAAAAAGTCTTGCTATATATCCTTGGCTGGCCTGACACTCACCAGGTAGCTCAGGCTAACCTCAAACTGGAAGCAGTTCTCCCACCTCAGACTCTTGAGTGCTGAGATTACAGGCATGTGCCACCATGGTTGGCTAAATCCCAGAGACCTGGGGTTTCCTGCCTGGGTTCTGAGCTGCAGATTCCTTCCTTTCTGAGCTCTTCTTAGTGCCCCTCTGGTCCTTTCTTTTTTCCCTCTGTGGGGCTATGCCTTACCTGTTGATTCTAAACTCCAGAAATACTATAAACAATATACCAGAGGAGGCTGGGGGTATGTTTCAGTGGTAGAACACTTCCCTAGCATACAAGAGCCCATTCCCAAAATAGTAAAGCAATAAACTCATTTTGTTTTCAAATTAAAATCAAACAAATTGTCTTTGTTTACTGTGTATTCATTATCTCCAATGGGTGTCCTTTGGCTTGTAGTTCTAACTGTACCTGCTGGTCAGGTTGCAGAGGAGACTATAATTGAAGAGGAAGAAGAAGAAAAGTCACTGATGAAGAGACCAAGGATGGTAGAGATGACAAACAGTGTGGAAGGAAGCAAGGTAATGAGATTCTTCTAAGCGGTATAGAGAAGGGGGAGGAAGGAACCAAAAGCCATGGTGATTAAGGCCTGAACACTACGTCTTTTTGTCTACTTTCTAGATAACCTGTTACCAGGGATTCTTACAGTGGTGACTTGGTTTACTTTACAGGAAGGCAGTGAAAGAAAACTATTACAGCAGCAACTCCAGGAGGCCAATCGAAGAGCCCAGGAATACAGACACCAGCTCCTAAAGAAAGAGCAGGAGGCAGAACAGTACCGCCTTAAGTTGGAGGCTATAGCTCGACAGCAGCCAAATGGAGTTGATTTTACCATAGTTGAAGAGGTCGCTGAGGTGGATGCTGTAGTAGTCACAGAGGGGGAGGGGGAGGGAAGAGGAACAGAAGTGACTAGGCCAGGAAGGACCACAGAGCCTCGTACTGGAATTTCCATAGAAACTGTTTCATCTTAACATGCAAAGGCCACAACTTGCACTGTGTTCATCTTTTGCCTTTTAAGAAGAAAATGCAGAGAGCAAGCAATATATAAAAATTAAGAATGTCTTTAAGAAGAAAACTATATCAGGGTACAATGCCTGGGCCCAGGAAGGCTGTATATG